GTGCTTTTGGCTGTCCGCATCATGGGACAATCATTCATTGCCATTTCTAGGACTTACTGCTGACATGGGATCTCAGTGTTTTTAAAACCATGATGCCAAACAATTAATGCTTAATAGATAGGCAACTCACTACTATTCTTACCATGAATAAGCCAATAAACAAGCCCAAATGCCAAATATCAGTGTGTATCTGCATTAGTTTTGATCCTCATGGATTATCATACTACTCAAAACACCTATGTTCTTCTTTCTTAGTATACTCTTTCTTAGTATGCTTCTGGTTGGTCTCAATTTTTCTCACCCAGTTTTAATTTCTGTTTGTAGATAATCTTGGACCTTATTTAGCTTCATCTGATACTGGCTGCCTTCCTCACTATCAGAATCCAGACAGCACAATAAGCTTCAATAAAATCAATGGGAAAGTGACACAAATTAAGAGTTCAATATATTCTCGGTGTGTTTCCAGTAGTATCTTGACAGAAGTAATCTTCTATATGTCCTGAAGTTACACACAATTTAAATCTGTGTCAAATGTTCTTGGCTTGTCTTTGTTAGCAGCTAATCAAAATCATATCAGCAAGTCCTCCCAGAATAAGGAATAATAGAAAATGGTATTATTTGGTTTTTAATTTTTCTCCAGTTTGTTTTTAGAAATAGTGGGTGCAAAGTGGCACCTATAGCCAAGACCTGGCACAATACTGTGCCTCAATGCATTTATAAACCCCTCTGGCGATACCCATTTCAGCCTTATCACAAGCTACGTCTGACTTTACCCAAGCCTGGTTTGAGCTGTTTCATAATATGGTGAACAGAGAAGTGCTGGTGGCTCCATGTGGGCCCAGACCTAAGTGTTCCCAAGGTATGGCAGGTCTGCATTTGTGTATAGCATCCATCTAACTTCCTTGGAAGCATTTAAGATTGTGATTAATTTAGTATTATCTAAACAGATTATCCTCAGCTTCAAGCAAATGAAATACATAAGTAGATTGTCAGGATGAGAAAGCAATATTTTAGTGAAATGAATAGATTAAAAAGATAAAACAAAGGTCTGACTACTCAATCAGCTATAATCTTGATGGCAGGCCTTGAGAAATATAGGTCAATATGTTTAACATTAAATACTTCAACAGTCCAGAGATTGAAATTTATTTTTTAAATCGTAATTCTAAATTTGAGGCAGTGATTGAACTTTCAAAATGTTTTCAAGACAACATAAAACAATTCTCTTGTTATTTTGCTACCTCCACTTACTCTGAGCTCTACCGTGTTGTCTCCAGTTGAGGTGACATACAAAGTAAAGAGGTTTTCGTTTGCAAGCAAGGACAGACAGTTCTTCCACATCAGGTCCCTTCTCTTTGGAAGTGGGAAACTCCTAGGTTCCTGATCTGAACCCAACAGGAATCACAAATCACAGCTGTGAGCTTCACAGCCCGCCATACAAATGAAAATGAACTTCAACAATTGTTCATCTTAATAGGCCAGGCAGGGGTTGGATATACTTCTCGCTCACCCGCTTTTCCTTAGCAGGCTGTAACCCTTGCAGAGCGCAAGGAGTGAGTAGGGACACAAGCCCTCAAATGGCACCATATGAATCAGGAGAGTGCCAGGGCAAGGGCCAGTGTGAGGGAGATCATCCTTGGGGGTGAAAGTATGTCCCAGCCAGTCACGAGGTCTCCCTTATCCTGGGGAAGGGTCTCAGCCAAGGACTGCACTGCCTGTACCCCCACACCACAAAATGCCCTGTCCCCTCTAGCCCAGCAGCTCAGAGAGAGATATGGAATGGGAAGGCCTGTTAGACCAAAGTCACCATCACTTGCTGAAAGAGACATCAACAGGAAAGCAAATTAAAATTATGCACATGGTCCTGATGAAACTGTGCTGGTTTATAAGCAGGGTAAGCATCAGTGCTGCTCTCAGTTAATTTTTGCAGTGAAAAGGTTAAATTTTAAGCATACTTGACAGGTACACACAACCAAGCAGAAAGCTTATACTCGGTAAATACTTTATTCATAAGAAGCCCCTATCTCTAGAGTACAAAAAGGTTCACAGCACTATAGGCATTGCATTGCATAAACAGAATGTGTTGGTTTAAACTCCACTGGAAACACAACAGTGAAGAAAAGAGTTTAAAAGAATCAGCAGCTGCCAGCAGCAAAAGCACACAGTCCACAGGAAAAAGAAAAAAGATGCATTTTTTGTTCTTTGGAGGCTACTAGAAGCCACCTGCGGTAATTGAAAACAACTCTGAACTGTACAATGTTGACAACAGGGTAAGATGTTGTTTTCCAGCCAGAGGTAGAACTAATTATACTGCTTTAGATTAGTTTTATGGACTTCTGCTCTTTTTTTTCACATTAGTCCAAAAGACATCACAAAACAACTATTGGTTTTATTTCATAATTTGAGTCTCAAAAAATAAATTACAGAAGGGAAATAAAATTACTGAAGACAAAATGCTACTAAAATCTAGCCCTAAGCTACACGGTCAGTTTAAAGTATCTGTGTATGCTGTGAACGATATTAAAAAACCGCGGTGCAATTTATACAGAGATTGAATCCTGGTTAATCTAACCCTTTTATTTATTGTTGATCTTCTAGGTTTGCATGTTAAGTATCTGATGTACAGTGACAGAGTGACAAATTCAGCCTCATGTTGCCCAGCACAAGATCCTCAGACCCTCAGGAGTGCTCTTACGTGTTTCTCAGGTGACTACCTTGCTTTTCATCCTCCGTCCTCCTCACCCAACACCTACTGAAACGTTTGCAGGACTGAGGGGCCGAAGGCCTTCATCGCTACCAGGCCGCCTTTCCGCAAGGCAAAGACTGCGATCTTGGCAAAACCTTGTTAACATATAAACCCAGCGTGTGTACTGTCTGACGTGGAGTGCTCTCGGGCCTTCTAAAACGCATGCCTGTACCTAAACTCCATTAATTAAACGGTCGCTACTGATGTCTAGTAGGTTACTAACTGTCTATCACTGCTGAAATTCAGTTTTTGCCCTCGATTTTGGAAAGCAACTTTTCAATGCGGGCTCTGAGGGGATCCCGCCTAGGCAGGCACGGTACCTGGGGGCCACTTCGCAAAGGGCTGCCATGTCGGAGGGCCGCGCTCCCCTCCCCTTCTGCGGGGCTCGGTAGCACGGCAGATATCCCGCAGGATTCGACGCCTTTCGGACCCTTTGGTCCGGGCTGAGGGGCTGCGCCGGGCTGCGCTACAACTGCCCCCCACCCCGCGGTTCCCCCCGGCCGGGGGCGGGCGCGGATCCACCACTCTGACCCCTGCTTATGTGACCTGTAGAGCCTGAAGTCACCCAAATGTGCCCTGGCAGATGTGGCACTGGCACGTCTTAAGCTGTGCGCTGGTGTGGAGCTGACGTGTCTTTTCTGTCTCTCTTCAGTGAAGGATTCCCATGTGCATAGCTGCTGGGTTTTAAAATGTGTATTTTGCAAATCAGCAATGCTGAAAGTGCCCTGCCCTAAGCTTCTTTCTAAGCTAAGTGCTCCTTTCTGTTATAAAATAAATTGAAGTAATAAAAAAAAAGACATAAGTAATAAGGAAATAATTAATAAAAATAAGCAAACCTGTGAAGTAGTAAAATGTTCTTGGTAATTTTCAGTTGAGTGAGTAAGTGTAGGGTTATTGAGGGGGAGAAATTAGGTGTTTCCTGAATAACTTCTGCACCAGGAATCCTGAGTTCGGTCCTGGATTTTTTATTATTACAAATGAGAGAGATTTTAGAAATTAGCAACAAAAAATCCAGTGTACCGTTGTGATGTATGTAAATGAGAAAATGTTAAAAGAGTCTGTTTGATAAGTAAGAGAGAGAATGTGCAGTTCTGTAGATCTGTGATGAGACAGGCAATGAGGGCTTGTGCACATGTGAATGTTAAGGAACTACATCTCCCACTAGCTTACTGGGGACCTAATTTAGGTGGTATTGCGATTATTTCTACTGATAATGTTGTTATTTTATGGGGAAATACATAAATAAAACTGTTTATACAGTTTCTCTGCACAGAGGTTTTATCATGTAACTGCAAGAAAAATCATGAACTGACTGAAATAGCTTGGTACAACAGTATAGGCCAAAACTTGGAAAAAAAAAAAAAATCAACCATGGAAGGTAGGAAATATTGATGTAAATAAAGAAGTTTTTTTAAAAAAGGAATTGGGGGTGAAGATGAGGAAGAAATCTTAGAATATTTTTTAATGCCATATTTTCTACTGTAGGAAGTAAAATCAGTAAATATCTTACTGAGACCAATCCCAAATGTGCACATTATTTGATCTTTCTCACATCTGAGTAGTTTTATTTTAGAAGTCTCACTCTAAAGCATGAGGAGTTCTTTTAACTGAATTTTTAGTTGAAAGAGAACTGGATTACTTTACTTGCTTGACTTGTTAAATTATATCTTGTCTGAACAGTGTAAGTTTCTCATGCAGTTCTTGCAGGAAACTGTACTGACGAGGAAGCCCTTAGCAAAATAGTCAATTTAGAATGTCTAGTTGAAATCTACTAATTATAGTCATCCTCCCCCATCTCTTCTCAGTGATGACAAATTCAGTAGTTTTACAGGATAATTTCATCCAACTTCCTCTTCTCCCTTTTTCATTCTCAATTTTTACTAACACCATGTTAGCCATCTTTTTCTGTTCAGGCAGTTGAGCTTCTTGAACCTTCAATTGACTAATCCTCCCTTTATGAGAGATTGAATGCAAGAATTGTGTCCTACTAGAGGAGGAATCTAACAGAACAGTTAATGTTCTGTGCAAGGACCACAGTTAAGTTCTCATGGCTAAAAAATAAATGCTTTTATAATTCAGACACATGGGAATAAAATGTGAGTACTGTGGAAAACAGCCAAGCAATCTAAATCAAGCTAAAATATGTTTCATAGCTACCAAATTTCTGTATAATCATAATAACCACTGAATTCCTGTTATATATTGTAGACTGAAATACTTACTTTTGTCTTTTTCAGGTATCATAACCTAAAGAATGCAGTCGGTTTGTCAGAAAGTTGGCCCTTGTTCTTCATGTTTGAAGAGACAACTAAATGGCTTCCTGGGATTAATTAAATGGCAGAGAAGACTGGGTCCTGCTTGTGTCAGAACTATTTACAGTGAGACGGGAAAATGGGAAAAAAGCTATGGGTTGGAGACAAGAAAAAGAGTTGAAAAATGGTGGCTCCCAAGAATAAAGGATCAGTTCTGCAGAATTTCAGAAACTGATGTAAGCATTTTGAGAAATTTGGAAATTACATGTTCAATATTTTTGTTTTCTCAGAATGGAATTAATTGAAACTTACTTAGTATAGTTGGCATATAATGATGAGATACATATTACATTTCAGAGGAATATACTTTTGTGTGATAGTAGATTATTAGAAACAGTTGATGAGGTAGGTGGAAAAATAATTTTTAAAATCTTGAGGAAAAACACGGTAAGCAAAGTATGAACTTGAAAATTTAGGAAGTGTTTACATAATCAGTTATTTCTTTGTTTATTATACCACATTTAGGAATTAATTATTTAAAGCATTAAAAGAAATATCTTCACATTCATAACTTTTGTAAACAATTTTCTTAGGATCTTATTCCCAGTGGTTATAAGAAATCTATTACACGACACACTGTGACTCATTAAAATCTGTGTTAAAGGAAGATGATTTTTAAAGAAGATTTTTTGGTTTATATTGTCAGGAATAATGAGTGATTTACAGAAAAAAAGTTTTCCCGTGCAATAAAAGATCTTGAAAAAATTATAATCTTGGTCTCTGACTCTTTTTGCCTTCTCAATTACGCTCAGTCATATAGGTATAAAAATATTTCTGTGCCCCTACACGTTTGTTCTTCTTCCCTAAAATGTGTCCCCTTTCCAACAAACAATTGATTCTATCCAAGTGTCGAAAAGAGGCTTGAATTTTCTGAGGAAGAAAACTGAGATGAAGATGGTGTGCATGCATACATATATCAGGGAAAGCAGTAATTCAGGATTGTGCCTTTAATATCTGACAATATGTCTATACATAGGTGTCATATATATATCATACATATACTGGTCTAAATTGTATTTTTAATGATACTTGTTTTATACTTACAGTTGAAGTAGATTTAATAACATATTGAGAGGCAAATAGTATGTAGTGCTGCAATGAAGTATTCAGATTATCTCTAATCTCACTGTTATTGGACAAAAGTGATAAAGAAGTAATATTTGATAAATATGAATAGAGTTTTGTTCAGAATAGTAAAAGCTGCCCATAATTTTTTCCCCATTATTAACATAAGAAAAATAATGTAGGAACTTACCAAGCATGTATCAGTGATAAATTCAATGGTAATCGAGATGTATTAGGAATAATTTGTGTGAGAGAGATAATGTTTGATTTCTTTATAACTTTTGTCCATTTACTCAAACCTAACTAAATGAAATTTTTACTTTCTTTTCACTGTGCAAGATGGTGCTTGTAAGATGACTTTGGATCTGAGCATATATAGTAGAACTAAACAGTTTCACTTCAGTGGATGTTCATGCAATTAACAATGATTGAGTTAGGCACTCAGTGAGTTACTGCAGTTCAGCTGACAAAAAGCAACTGGCCAGCAGTGAGCTCCATGTTTGTTGTAAATACAAAGTAAAACACTTATTTAAACTGTTATGGGGACAATTTAATCTGTCATGTTTTCATTTTTTGGTGGGACAGATTATGAGTTCATAGATAATCAATTGCAGATGCTACGGTAGGGACTGGTGATTTATTAAGCTGTAGTTATGTTAATGTATCTTTTGTTGATTAAAAGTTGATTAAAACCATAATTTTCAAGTGCCATATAAATATCAATATAAATTGATGGGATGGCAGCAAAGTCTGGTAAAACCTCCCCATTTACAGTCCCAAAGAATTTGTTCTGATGAACTTTGTCAGTGCTCACTTGGATCAGTTCCAGCAGAACCTTGTTTATCTTCACAGTACTGTGTAATTTATAATGTGCACATGTATTTATTCAAGTGAAATGTTAACTCATGTAGTTAAAACTTTCTAAAAATTTCTTTCTAGAAATCAAGACCAAAATTTTATGTGCTTTCTATGTTCCCATATCCTTCTGGAAAGCTTCACATGGGCCATGTTCGTGTCTACACCATCAGTGATGCGGTAGCTCGGTTCCAGAAAATGAGAGGAATGCAGGTAAGAAAAGATTGGCACTAGGACTGGGTGGGGTTTTGATGTTTTGATATCGTAACTGGTCAGGAAATTAGTGTTTTTCAGAATCCATGAAGGTGAATGTTTAGTTGGAATATACGCTACAGATGCATAGATAATGACCTGTGGATCTTTGAATATTGAAATTTGAGACTTTTTAAAAAACAGGCGGTGTTCAGAACTCACTGTTGATAACAAATTGTTAAAAGCTATCAACAATGATACAGCTGATGCTGTGTCAGCTACCTGAATCTACTGATGTGCAGCACAGTGTCAATGAGACGTGTGGGCCACACCATTTCAGTGAGAGGAGGCTGAAGACCCTGCTGCTGTCTGGGTGGGACTGTGGGGAGGAGAAGGTGTAGCTAGCAAAAGAAAACTGAGACACCACAGAAGTCAACTCCTTTTACCTCTTCTGCTCCTGAGAACCGGTTGATGCCCTTTGTCAGACTCATAGGGACATCCTGCTCCTCTGTGCCAGCTGGGAGGGAAACCCTTTCTCATGACTACTACAAGTCAGATGAATAGGGGCATGTCACATGGTGTGGGTGTAACTGTAGAAGTTTGTGTTCTGTAGCAGCTGACCTCTTGGCTTGCCTGTTTCAGCCTTGCTCACACATCCAAAATACAAATTCTGAAGGTGCAAGTCTATGAGGAAGGCTAAGATTAATTTACTTGCTGCATCTTCCCTTCTGTGTCCCTCTTTTCCAGTTCACCCTATGCCTGCCATAATTTTTCCCTCCCTCCTTTTTCTGTTTCCAGTAGGTAGAAGGTGTAGCTGAGAGCTTAGTCCCTGCAGTCTACAGGTGCCATCCTAATTGGTGTTCTGCAGTAAAGGCTGGCAGGTAGAATTTGAAGGATGTAAGGAAGGTGTGAGAGAATTGTGGCCTGAATGACAACCATATTAAGAAGGAAGAAGATATTTGGTAGAGGGAAAATGTTGAAAATTTGGGAAACAGTAGGAAGGAGGATGGGAAGAAATACCCAGTTTTGGGATAAGGAACAAAAAGGAATGAAAGAGCTGTAGGAGGAGTCTAGCATATGACTCAAAAAGGAATTCTCTAATGTACAAGAGACAAAGAACAGCTCAAGAATATAGGAATCAGAACCCCAAAAGAGTACAAAGAAGATGAAATGGAGAAATAAATGTTAGTTGCTGGTTGTGGTACTAAGTACAATTTCCTTGCTACAAGTGCTGTAGAAGTGTAGCATTTCCTGGATTTATCATCATCCATGAGATTCTTAAAGGTATTGTCACTGAATTATTCAGTGTGCTGCCTTTCCAAATACTGTGTATTTTATGCCAATGATGAACATACCATGCACTGAGTATGTGCTGCTGCTTTACAGAAATGCATTCTCATGCTTTTAAAATTACAGGAAAAAGAAATAACTGCCTTAGACTTTAAATGAGAAAAAAGCCCAGTGTCTGTTGTAACACTAATGTTTCCGAGTTCCTGAATGACCAGAACTTAGATCTCACTAAAAAAAATGAGCTAGCTAGGTTCTTGAGGGGACTTTTGATTCTTTCTTAATGTTAAGACCAGTGGAGATGTTGTTTCAGGACATAGCTCATCTCTCATAAATAACAGTGATGAGATAGTGAAGATATCCACTAAATTTCTCTTCAGAAAGATGAAAACTTGTTTCTCTTGTACTAGCTAAAATAAAGTGAAAATTGTCTACCTCTAGTAGGATGCTGTAGATGTTAGCTTTTGAATACAAGGAGAGTAAGCACCTTTAGTAGAAACCTTTGGAGAATATGAAAAGATAATTCAGTGAAATAGAAGAGCCCCTGTGAAAGCAAGTTTTTATTTCCGTGATTGCCTGTTTTTTTTCAGAAAAGTTTTGAAAGTCTTTTAAAGTTTTAAAATCTTGCATTTTGGCTTAGTTTTGTATTTCATGTAAAAATTACTTTGAAGGATATTAGAGTGCCTGTAGAACATGCTGAATTTCTATAAATATATGTATCTTCTGTTGTGTTAACCACTTTGAACATCTATTTATGACTAAAGGTGGGCAGCCAAAGAATTTAACCTTCATGTACGATTAAGAGGCATTAAAGATTTCTCAGATGATTTTCTGAGTATGTCAGACTAAGAGCTGTTGTGTTAGTGATGTACGTTAACTTGATAGAAATCATATTTACCTTAAAAAAAACCCTTTTATTATTAGCCATGCTAATTTCTCCATCGCTTAGAATTAAAGTCTTTATAATTGATTTTTCTCCTCAGACGTTATCAGCCTCTAGATGTATTCTCTGGCCATTGTCACAGTTGTACAATCTGTTAAAGATTTCTTTCTTGTGATGGTTGTAGGCTATGACATATATATTATACAAGAAATTTGATATTCCAAAGAAAAATACTTTTCCCTGTATTCAGGGAATTACTGGAATTCTTCAGTACATAAAAAGGAAGAATCCTTTAGAAACAAAAAATGTTAGAATGCATAGTTTTGAACTTACTCTGTTGATCTTATTTTTTTTCTTTCTGGAAATTCAGTTTTAATATTGCATGTTTGAAAGTTCTGGGATTACTAATTTTTCCAAAGTCAAAATTCCAAAATAGAACTGAATGCGTTTCAGGTACTCAAGGTAAGTTTAGGGTAAGATTTTTGAGTAGTAATGTTTAAACTTTGCTTCCATCATTTCCTAAATAAATAAATAAATAAATAAAGGACGACTCATTGAAAATAATCTTAGAAACTGTATCTCTGTATATAAATGTAGAACTGACCCTGGTTAGCAAGTCATAAAACTGCTAGAAACAGTACAGGTAGGTTTAAAGTGTTTGTAAGGCAACAAGAAGTGATGGGCTGTTACCATGAAAAATACAAACTTACAGTTCCCAGGGAAAGCTTCAGACTACAATGTATATTTTTTGTCTAATAAACAGTGAGGGAAAATATCAGGGAAAATATATATGGTGTATACATAGTTAACTAGTATATATGATTGAGTAAGAGGGTAATGTATGTTGAATAAATTGGGGATATATTTCTTAGAGAATGACTTAATGAGAAAATAGATTTCATATTGATTTAATCTGAACAGTCAAGAATTGACTTATTTGTTATAATACTTAAATAAGGATAAGCTTGAACGCCTTTACAAAGGGATTAGAGTTCCTTCAGTAAATTGGAACCATTTTTGGAATGCATGCATGTAACTTCTTCATACTGGAGGTAGTTTGAGATCTTAACTGGGAAAGTGTTAAATAATTTGGATGCTGGTTTTTTGTTTTTCTGAAATAGAACATTAGTATTTCATTTTTCTGGCTGGATAGGATCTGATTTTGTTTCAATTAAAATATTCTAGTGAGGTAATACATGCTGAAATCTACTGATATTTGCTAGGAACTTGTACTTCATCAGCATTTTAAGTGGGAAAATAAGTATTTGTTGCTCTTTCCCCCCCCATCTTGTTTTGTTTAGCATAAAGCTGTAGACAATATTGGTGACTAATGACACTGAAAATGAGCAATTACCTAATGGGCAGCAGCCTTTTCTGCGGTAGGTGGCTGGCTGGTCTATTTATGAAATGGTGTACAGGGGTGGGATTTAACGCAAGTGTAACATCACAATAGGCAATGGCTTTTTCTGTGTACTGATGAGTGATAAGCTTTGCAGAGTTTTCAGCAGGGGCTGCGTGAATGTGTGTATTGCAGCACAGAGGTAATCACCACAATTGTATCGATTTGGGGCCAGCACATTGATTGTGCTGCTGCATGATGAAGTCCCATTTGTTTTACCTGAAGATCTGACCAGCGAAGCATTGCCTTGTTCCAACACTCCTCAGGGACTTGTAGGCAGTGCATGGGAAATAAACTCTGTCATGGGCTTGGACTGGGTTGCTGGATAAATGATTTGTAGGGTACATCTGTTATAACTTGTTTACATTCTAATTACTGAAGATGGAGTTTGAAGTCTTTGCGTGAGAACTATAAACTATACAGATTACTTAGCGTGAATGCACCAAGCTAGTCTCTTTTCAAAATGTGCTAAGGATAACATTTTTCTTGAAGTATAATTAAAACAATTTTTGCATATGGAGAGTTCTAGTCACAGATCTTATTACAAACATATTTCTTTAAAAATGCTATGAAAAAGTAATTTATATATTTTAAAGTATAAATTTGTATCTATTAATAAACCAACCCAGAACCATAATGTGCATTTTCTGGTTGTGTTTTCTCTGTGAATCTACATGCATGCTGTGAATTCAAATTTAGGAGTTTTGTAAGAAGTTAAGAGATTCCCTACTCATTATTTGAGTGCCATGTACAAATTATAGAGATTTAAATGGTGATTTTCACCATGGCAGATTTTGAGTCTGCTGCTGCTCAGGGAAAAAAGTATTTACCATTGCTTTATCATGCTATCGTTACCATGTCTTTGATAAATTCCAAAGTGGATAATTTTTGCCTCTCAGAGGATTGAGAAGAATTCCCTTAGCAATCAGTAAACAGAGAGTGATTCAGTTCAATAGCTCCTGTGATATCTTTTTAATAAAATTTTGACTTGAAATTGATACCACAGCGAGGCAGTCACTTATGACTTGTACAGAAATGAGAATGATCATTGGACAATTCAGGGTGAAATTCCTGTACACTAAGATCAGATTTCTTAATTTATACTTAAACTGCTCCTCGTAGCTGAGATTGGAATATTGTCACTGATATTTCCACAAATGACTTAGAGAGTTTTGGTTTTATCCAGAACATCATCTTTTCTAAATTGGATGTATTTTCCCTTTCAGTAGTGAATCTTAATGCTCTTGATATTGCAACAATGAATGGTACTGAAGAAAGACAGGCAAGTTTTATTAAAACTTTATAATTAAGTCATCAGTAAGATGAATTATTTCAGTACAGTTCCATTTTCTGATTGTCATTAGCTGCTGTACTCCACCGTATTATTTGTGTGAGATGGTTGTGTCCTTTTGCCAGGTTATTTTCTGTGGTATAAAACAATTGGAAAGTATTACAAGTATCCTACGTGAATTGAACCTTATTTAAATTTAGTTTTCCAGTAGCAAGCACTGAAGGTGTTAATGAGCTCACTCTTTCAGTTTGAAAGAAAAAGAGAAAATGAGGTATTATTTTAAATGCAATTATGCTAGACAAGAATGTGTGAGATTAAGGAAGTGAGAGACATCTTTGTTTTCTAAATCTTTGTGGCAGCATGTGGACATAGAATAATTTCTCATATTTTGTATCTTGTGAGAACAACATATAAATTAGAGAATTTTATAAGCAGAGTTATGTTTTGATAGAAATCTGTGTGGACTGATTATTTTTTAATTTGAAAGTGCCTTATCAGAATGCTAATATGCAGCGTTGTGTTGCAGAGAGGCATTGAAATAGTCCTTGCTAGAATATACACACTAGTCAAAAATTCATTATTTTGCTCTATTTCCAGGTGTGCCTTGTCTGCTTGTTTGTTTTTTTTTTGTTTGGTGGTGGTAAATTTTTAGCTATTGTTTAATGGTGTTTATTACCTTACTACACTTTAAAGACAGTTTAGGCTGCATTCAGGTGGAGGTCTTGTATTTAAAATGTGTTGTATCTGTAATGTGTTTTATCTGTAATCTGTTGAAAATCAAGTCAGATTTTCAACATGTTCAGCCTAATTGTGGGCAGCCAGTGGAAGGATCAGCCATCCTCTCCTTTCCCCTCTCCAACCGTGTGTCCTCACTGTCTTGCTTGTGTGTGGTTGCACAGTTGTGAGGTCAAATGCAAGGAGGATGACAGAAAGTTGCTGCTGGAGCCACAGGTGTTTTCTGGCAGCTGGAACTCATGACCGCAGATGACCTATTTTGTGAGCCTTTTTTGGTTAGTTCACGTCGAGTGTGTCATGGGGCCGTAACTAGAGACAGGAATGTAGACTTCGCTGTGTTGATTCGAATCACTAATCTGTCAGCGAGCCTTTTCATTTTTGGTTGTCTTCACTTATCACATATTCTCTGAAATGTGTTTATTTACAGGCATTTTTGACACTGATTCGGCTGTATTTCTTAAAATTTAGAATGCATCGATCTGGATGTAAGAAAGATACATCAGCTCCCTGGTCATAGTTTTGAGACATACTGAGTGCATCAGAAGAGCAAACAAGTTCTTTGTTTCCTTACAAACATTAAGGAAAATTCACTGAATCGCCTGTCCTAGTTATGTTGATGGAGGCATAGAACAGAGTGTTATGAGATCACTGTCAGCTCTGTGTTATATAGTACTTACTGATCTCGCCTACTAATGTCAGTGTGATGGGCTGATTGTTACAGCAGTGAATAGATGAAAATCGTCTGAGAGGAAGAGCTGAGATCTCACAAATGAATTAATGCAGTTACTGTGTCTTCCTCTGCTTTGTCCCACAGTCACATTAAGAGTTCCAGCCATTATTAATGACAGATTTTTGACCGTGCTGTGAAATTATTTTTAAAGTAATGATTCGAGCTAATTTGAAGTCAGAGTCTTTTGGATCTAAAATGTTTTTCTTTTTAATAATCTGCTCCTGAAAAGACTGCTCAGTGTGGTAGTTACCAAGCACTTTGTTCCCCACATACTAATTAATCACTTTATTGCAACTTCATGTTCCTGTGCAGAACTTAATATGCTGAGTGCTAGAGAATGCCAGTCTTTCATAGCTGATCCTGCCTGATCATGTGAATTTCTAAGCCATGTAATAATCTGTATTCAAGACTAACTTGTTACTTTTAACGAAGAAGAGTTGACCTGTCCATTTCATTGTGAAGACCAGAAACACACAGCTGCCTTTGGCTTCTGCTGTCTTAAAATGACTGAAACTATAGCCTGCCTTCTTTTACGATGTACAGGCATCCTTAGACTTATGCAAGCCTCCTGTCTTACAAGATATGTTCATTATTGTTTTTTCTTTTTCCTTGTGACCTAGAGAAAATACTCTCTGTACAGAGAAGCGATGCTTGGAAGAACAGTTGCTCTAGTGAGCAGAACTGATCCCTCAGTTGCATAAGGTTTAGAGACTGCTGTCAGAAGCAATCAAGTCAGCATTCAAGAAGTGGATGACATATTTTTCTTCTGCTTGTCTGTAATGCTGGAGGGAGCAGCCATGTTTTCTGCTGGTCAGAGACTATGACCAACCCATCTAGGAGCTACAAGGAATATCCTTTGGTCTTCAAAATTTCTTTCTTCCTCTTTTTTCTTTGTTTTGAACAGTTGAACTCTTCCTTTATTCTTTGTGCCAACTTCTGACATGTTGTATCTATTTTTCTCTTCTTCCATGTCTCTTGAGATTTTTGATGCTTTTCAGAACTGTATAGTTGATCTCAGTCTTGTGTTTTATGTCGGCTGAGTTAAGGTGTAATGCCAAGTGATGTGTGTGGAGACTGTGGCATTTTAACTGTAGATACGTAATATACATTCCATCCAGAAGCAGCTGACCTGTTGTTTAGACAAATGCATTTCACAAACCTTTCAAATCCATTCACAGTAGGGAAGTAAAAGAGACAATAAACTTGAAATAATTTTCTAAACCACTGTGCATGTTACATTCATCTCTATAGCAACTACATAAATAGATCTATCCTGGAGATTAATTTGAGGATATTTTTAATGTCTCTTGAAATTCAGGTTTCTGATTGAAACTTGAATTAGCGTACTTCTTCAGCCCTTTAACTTGAAGAATGCTATTGGTTGTTAAATTGAACTGTCTTTTGAACATGATAAGTGAATACACTGTATGATATTTTTAATATACATGCTAGAATTGGGAAGATCTGTGTGATTAGATAATTCCTGCTAGTGCTGATGGTACAGTGATAAAATGTCTGCACATTAGCTGTCTGGAGCATCAGTCAGCCCTTTTGGGGAGTCTGTAGCTGGTAGTGAAGCTGCTCTTCCCACATGCTTTTGCTCATGAGCGTGAGAAATTAGATTGTGCCTTGCTTTTCCCTGCCTATCTATATCCAGGAGATTTACAGAAGCCAAATTTTACAAAAATTAATCAAGAGTAGTTTTTCTAATCTCCTTAATGTGTGTCAGCTTGTAGCAAAATAAGACATTTGTAGAGATGCAAACATAAAAAACACTTGTCTAAACAAAGAGGGCTTAAATAAGAGAAAGTATATATTATACATGAAAAAAAAAAAAAGGTCGTTTATTTCATCATTTCTGTCCAGAGACAGGTCATCAGCAACAGTAATGCTCAAAAAGAGCTGAGCTGCAGAAACTACTATTTTAGTATGTCCTTAAAAAATCCTGTTGAGATTTGTAGTTTATGTAAAGTTTACCTTTCTTTTTTTCTCTTTTATACTAATAGTTTTGATTACTGGTGGGGAGAGGGAGAGGAGAGGAGCTGAGGTGTCCGTCAACAGGGCTTTGACAAGTGGTTTAGGCTCCAAATGAGATTTTCCATGTAATGGTTATAATGTGGGGAAGTAGGGAGTTAGGACTCAAGTTTTCTGACACTATGATATGTGAAACGGTAATATGTCTGATAATAGGGAAAATTTGTAACACAGAATAGCATTTTGATTTCTGTTAGATTCATACATCAGAAATGTGCTGGGCATGGACCCTTACTGTACTGGCTTGTGTCACAGTTGATCACTGGTTAATACCTTTGGTTTTGTTGCTGCAACCAGCAAAGTAACTATATACAGTACGTTTAGTTTTAGCTCAGTATTGAAAACAAGAATGCTGAGGAGTCACATCTGTTAAATCCTTGCTTTTGCTTTTACACCGAGTTGGTGCCTAGGGCACCTTTATAAACATGTCTATAAAGTATTTTTTATGAAATATTCCATTGAAGTCAGAGGATTGGAAGTCTGTGGCAAAGAAGAATAAAAATAATTCAAACCAGTGACGATGAAAGCAGCTCTTATGCCTCTGAAATAAACAGATTTTTCACATGGAGACAGCTTATGAGATTAGTATTGCTGGGCTTGCTTTCTTACTGCTTGTTTGCTTCCATACCACTAAAGAACAAGTTCTTTATATAAATATGTATTTTAAGGGTAAAAATTTCTATTTCTTACAACCTGTAAAATGTTACTTAGGCATGTTTTGCTGTTGTTAAACTTGTATAACTTTAATCATAATTGTTAGATTTTACAGCACATTTGTAGGTGTAAAAAAATGGAAATTTTTTTCAGGTATCCGATATATAAGTGTTTAATGACAACATCTTAAGTGCTGGCCTTTCTTTCCCTGGTTATTAAACAGGGTTTTGAATATTTACTGTATTGGTAGATTATTTTTCCAAATAATTCAGATGTTAATAAGAAAGATATATATCTATTTCAACAGGAATTACCTGTTACATTTTGTAGTAAACATTTTTTTCCACCTTTATTTCTGGTCATGAAATACAATTTGTCAGACTATATTCACAAAAGATATTTTAGTAAAATTTGACTAAAACAGTTTTCCTCATCCTATTCATGTTATCTGTTGGATTTAAGGTTATCACAGGTTTTTTATCTTTTTTTTTTCCTTCAACAAAAGAAAAAGGCAACACTTCAGGTATATAAAACTTGGTTCAATTAGTTTTGCTTGCTTTCTTCTTTAGAATGAGTATTTGATTCTGTATAGCAGTAGCATCAACTGCTGATTTTGATGACCACACAAATTTACAAAAGATTGATTTTTGTAATTTTTCAACTTGCTATTGAAATAGTCATGAGGATTTATGACATAATACTTTAGGCTCCCTCTAACACTGCACTATAGATAGCAAGTATGCTTCATATTCATCTTATAAAACAGACATAGCCATGGTTGGCATGTTTTGAAGAGGTTCAATTGAGACAAAGCAAATGCTGAAATGCAAAACACCATTTGTTATTTGGAGGCCTGTGTGTGTTGCTGATGCCGTTCCAGAGTTATGTAAGATTGTGTTTTTCTGTTTTGCTGACAGGTGATAAATCCAATGGGATGGGATGCATTTGGTTTACCGGCAGAAAATGCTGCAGTCGAACATGGGCTTCACCCTGCAAGCTGGACGCAAAGGTAGTTTTTAATGAATTAATATGACATTTCCACTGTGAATACCTGTACTGTGGCCCCCATAAACCCACAAAACAGAGCAAAAACAGTGTAGAAGAAAGATGCTACAGAAAGAACCAGGATTATTTGCCAATATTTTACGGGACCGCACAGATGATTCAGTTTTGAAAAATAAATGTATCAGGATGATTTTCAAGGTTTTAATCTCAATTACTTTTAAATTTTAAAAGGTAGAATATTGAAAGAGTGATGTTTCCCAAACACCCAAATCAGTGAATAAGAAATAAATCAGAATGACATTATGGTGAGTTGAATCTTAGTATAGAATACACACTTGAAAATTATGAGCTATGTGGTTAGATTTGCTAACAGGTTTTGGTACCATGTGAAAGAGGAAGAAGATATTTTTTTCATTTGAGACTGGGTCTTGGAAAGTGATAAACAGCCATTATTGCTACTGATTTCCTTGAAAATTTTGGGCTTTAGAATGCAGAATTGGGTGTTATGTTCCCCTAATATTCTTTAAAATGAGTAGAAATGAGTATATGAGTAAACATTAATTTCTATAAATGACTTGGAAACCAGTTTTCTTAAGTAAGGCTGTTTGTTGTGCTCCGGATGCAGTAATCTAGCTGTGGTATCTTTTTGGACCTTGATCCATTTCCTTCTTTGATAATGCTCTTTCTTTTAAGTTTTTTTTCATGCTTCTGGTCCCATCTTAAGATACTTGATACTTTTCCAACTAAAATATGATGGCAATTGATTTCATTTAGGGAGAACACGAGTGCACTACACATAAATTGGTTATGCTCATCTTTAAAAATTTCCCTAACATATGGTTTAGGTAAAAATATGTGTGAGAACCAGTTACCATCAAGACATAAAAATCTGGTTTTGTTCTTCTGAGCATCTAAAAAAAATCACTGTGTACAGTGTGTTGTGGGCTATCAATTACATTGTAGTATGGTCAGTAAATTGATGGTTTCTGTCTTCTTTCATTAAGCCTACCGAAGCTCAGCTGTAAAACAAATCTACTTGTCTCTTAGATCTGAGTGCCTCGGTTTTACCTCGGATATCTTGGTGGAACCTTCACCAGATAGAGCATTACTGTGATCCTTACCTACATGACAAATGAGGTTCAGAGAAGTGAAGGCTGTGGTTTTGAGACAAGGCTTACATTAAGTACTTACTGACTGCAGAAGGGTTAGTGTTTTCCCCTTCGCCCTATTACATGGTCCCTCCTCAGCTATTGTACTAGCTTTGGCACTTGTAGGGCATCTTGTTGAACTGACTTGGCTTGCCAACTCAGAAGAAAGCCATTCTGCCAACTGCTTGAGTTGAACTGGCTCAAAAGAAAAGCAGTGAGCATGTGGAGCAGAGAGACTGTGTGATAGCAAAGACCTGTATCAGCTCAGCCTGTCTCGTCTTAGCAGTTTGTTTAGGTCATATTAAAAAGCAAGTGACAGGGCACACCCTGAGCTGATTCTCTTTTCTTGTAATTAGGTATGCATTGTTCCATACACTCGAAGCACTTCAGCTAGTAGTTAAAAGTACAAGAAGTTTTATACTGCAAGCAAGTTTTGCTTTGAAAATTTCCTTAGTACTGAAAAGAGTGATTTTCTATTTTCAAGAGTTAGATAACAATATTATAACAACAAACTGAGAAAAGTTAGCACATCATAACGGAGACTGATTATAACAACATCCAAATAGAAAAATTACTTACATACCCAGGTTTTTTGATTATGCTATGGAAGGGAGTTGATTCATCATATGGGCAGTTTAAGTTAGTTACTTATACAAACACAGAGAAATTGTTGTTACTAAGAGTTAGTATATTGGCAGAAGCTTTGTGAAAATATACTCAAATTTGAGATTTTTTATTGGTACAGTTCTTTTTGAGTGGGGCTTTAATATAAGCAATACTACTTTTCTCCTGGTGGAAACTGTGAGTCCATGAGACAATTTCCTGGTATACCTGTACCAGGAAAACTCCTTACCAGAAAAGTCAGACCTTCTCTAGTGTAACTGGGGCTCTGTGACTGTTAATACTGGATATTTGCATACTCGGCAGTGCAGGTTTGTTCTGGATCAGAATTAAATGCTTGGTTTCATGACTGTCAAATTAGCCACTGTGGGAGGATAATGTATCTGACATAATGCATTTTAGTAGAAAGTTAAAAGTCCCTAAGAAATTTTAAGCAATTTTAAAATATGGATTCATACCAGATCACTAGTTAATCTTGTGTAACTGTGGGTATTTTAGTAAACTGTATTTAGTAGATTTTCAAACTAAAGCTTCACTGTATATTCTGATGTATCTTATTTTACATTTTTAATATAATCCATCTGGGACAAGGTCTAGCCCTACAGTTTTGCAGTTAAGTTTATCTGTGGCTGTTCTGCCACCAGAAGTTTAGGGGTTCCTTGTCACCTCCCAGGATATATGTTCCCACTACTTCCTTTGTGTTGGCTCACCTGTTTTTGCAGCCACAGTGTTGACTTAATCAGCCTGTTGATCAGAGGGAAGCCAGAAAACTGGTGAGGTATTTTTGGAGAACTTTTTGTCTTCAGCTGAATGGCTGATCTGATTCAATTCATCCTATAGCCACACGATCACCAGAGCAAAGCAAAATACATCCAGGATAGCATTGCCAAGATAGAGCAGGATTAAGCTGATGGTGAAATTGTGTCCTACTCCATCATGAAGATTTCAGAAGACCCTTTGAAAGTAAAGATAATAAAAAACAATGAGAAGTGATGCTTCAGAAACATTTGCCTCAAAGTGCAGTGCCATGTTTGCTTTTCAGTTTTACTCAAATCAAGAGAAGACAAATTGTTGTCTTGTATACACAGCTATTGAAATTGAGACACCGTACACTAGGGAGTTTTAAAATTAATATTTAGGATGGGTATTCTGGCAGTTCCTTGAGTTTGACTGCTAGTGAGATAATAGTATTTAAAGTTAACTAGTGCTTTTGATTTCTTAGAACATTGTAAGCACCTGACTTTGAATATGATCATGTGATAGAAATATTTTAAGTTAATAATATTTATTTTTAATTTTACAGTAATATTCAACACATGAGAGAACAGTTTGATGCACTAGGTCTGTCTTTTACATGGGAAAGGGTAAGATTTTCTTTTTTAAGGCATGCTGCTTTACTGTACGATGGAACATCAAAAAACATGGAATTTTACCATTTTATTTATGATAATATAGAAATCTCTGAAAGTGTCCGTTTTAAGTTGCTAAACTGCAAAATCGAGCTTCTCAAGCTTTTTATCATATTTCACTTTTGATATGCGGATATCATCTGATTAATCTCAACATTTAAGAGAATCTTTTCTTTAAAGTGATTTCAGTTTTGCATTTGGATTTTTCTCTCTGCTTTTTCAGTTCTTTCAAAGTAGCAATTTTCTGTGTTAGAAATTAGACAATAGTCTAAATAGATATTTATGAAACAGCATGCCTTCATGTTAATATATATATATATATATATGTTTTGAGGAGTGCTTTTTTCAATGTTTATGTTTTTATAATATACTCAAGGGTTTAAAGCTTGTAACTTGAAATGGTGGTTTAGTTATGTTATTATAAATTTGAAGCATAAGCCTGCCTTTTTGTAGGTGTTGGTATCTTGACTGTTTTGGAAAATATAAATTTTATTGGAAATATTAATGCTTGAGCATCAGGTGTTCACTTTAAAAACCTTACCAGACATGATCAGACATAAGCTAATAATAGCTTAAAGATAAAAAATAAATTAATTTTTGAAGCAATTGTAAGGTTATTGCATTTACCAGTGAACTGAAAGTCACTACCTTTATATTCTCAGCAATAACTGTTGCTTATCACCTTAATATGATTCTGAATAGAGTGATAGAGATGCTAATCTTGAATTTTTATAACAGTATTGTAGATCTGAAAAGGAAAAGGATTAGTTTTCTGGCAGTCTGAGACCTACCATCTGTTTTCTTCACCCTTGAAGGTGAAGTTGTTTATTTGTATGTCTTACATCTAAAAACCTGTATTTCATCATGTAATATCAATATATAGGGGAAGATTTTTCAGTATAACCATTTTTAATAAGATTTTAGTTTTCTTGATAGCCAAAAAGTTGCTCTGAAAAGAAAAGAATTGTTGTGGAAGGTTTACTGCACACATTCTTGACAACTATTTTCTTATATTTAAAATGTTGGTATCTCAGGGATTTTCTGTTTGTGTAGTACAGCAATACTTCAAAATAGTGAAATCATATGTGTAGGCAGTATTATGAAACATGCAAGAGTTGAACATTGCAGATTGCCTTTAAAGAAAATTGAGAAAAGTCACCTCTATATGGACTTTTGTTTAACCCTTCCATTCTGAAGAAGAGATGGAGAGCTGGCAGTACTGAAAACCATGGCAGGAAATTTAAGTACAGAGGGAAAAGTAATTTGTCATCTCTGTACCTGTTCTTTGAGGCTTACCTTCACTTTTCTAGTAATCCACATTTTGTCTAATGAACCTTCAGAAGTCTCTGAATTCTTGTGAAAGGGGCTTTCATACTCTTCAACTAAGCCCGTTTGAACAGTTGTGTAATTGAAATATTTTAGAATGTTCTAGGGGCGCATAGTTTGTGTTTTTGAAAGGTAAGATTTTAGAACAGCTAGAAAGTGTTCCTTGACACACAATGAATTTTGGAGTTTTCACTCCTTAGCTTATGAAATGTTTTATTTTACCTAGAAGCCTGCCTTATTAGTGAGTGACCTGAATGGTGATCATTAGAAATAGGTATGTTTATTCATTGCAAAAAATATATGATGCCTGAAATACATCTGTATGGCTTGATTTCCAAATGTGCAGATATTTGAGCTAGCCATGAAAGAACTACCTTTGAAAGCAGAATGGCTAAGCTGAGTGTATTTTCCAGACTGATAAAGCCTGCTTTTCTGCAAGGCTAATTAGGCTGGGCCGAGCATTTTACTGCCTCAGCTGTACTGCTTCTGGGGTAACGCAAGCATCTTTGCACAGCAGTACACTGTGCTGTGCAGATACTTACTTTAAAAGTGAGGAATACTTTTTTTATTATTCTATACTTGTATGGCACTGAATCAGTGATGTACAAAATACTGTCATGTTGCAAACAAACCCACTAGCATTAGTGACTCCTGTGAAAAATGCAAGAAACCCACTTTTTATATGGGTTGGTCTAATAAACCAAGACTATTGTACAAAACAGGAGTTTGTTTTTAATTTAATTTCATTGGTGTTGCTTAAAAGTGCTCCTTCATTGTGCTAGAGCACAGTAATTAGCAAATATGTGCTGGAGGGAACCCATTCTCCTACCTTAGATCCCTATTTTAGTGTGCAGTGAATTGTCTTTTTAAAGTGCTAACCTTTTATGTTAACTGTCTCTGTCCTCTGTGGTCAGCTTACAGTATATACCTAGATGATGTGAAGGAAATTTAAGTAAATTTTACCATTTCACAAATGTTGAGGGAGAAGAAAGTGGGAAAATAATAAAAAATACATTTTGAATGCCTAGTGCATTTAGCTGTGCTTGAAGAAGCTTTTAAAGTCATGTCTGGTGTTCAAGACTGTCCTGTCCAGGAATATGAAGACTAGTTGTAGTTTTACTGCTTGGTAAAATTATTATGAACAAATCCCAGTGCACCTGGCATATTAGTAATTTCCTTTTATTTGTCTGGGTCTTTTTCATTGTTTTCTGTCTTACAAATCAAAATTTTAAAGTATTTTTATGTTTTAGCAGTCAGTGAAATTACTTAACCAGTAAGGCACCACAAATAATAAAGCATTATTAAAAGCTAATTAGATTATTTCAGAAAGCCAGGTTACAAAGACATTTGAAAATTATTCTCCTAAACAGAAAATGCAAGCAAACTAAAAATGTAATTAAATGCATAAAATATCTCTGTAAGTACTTTGCTTTAGAATATATTTGAATACTAATAGTGATCTGATATTTTTTCCCTGAAACATGTAGGTATTTTAAGTGCCTCGAGTAATAAATGTTTATTTTTAAATCACTTTGAAAATGGTGTGATTTGGGGGAGAGATTTTTAAAGAATAAATGAGAGAACATTTCTGTTTTGAACATCTGTATGTGTCAGATCCAGGGTTAAAAAGCTGCAGTTTGAGGACAGAAGAAATGTCTCTGAGAGACATTAAACCCACCTGGAAAATAAACCATTGTGGTTATACTATATTTTTAAAATAACAACAATTTGGGCATTCCTGGTGATTTTTATTACAATATTTCTCCAAAATATGATCCCAGACAGCATAGCAAACTGCCTGCCACTTCTTTTAAACATGATTTGCAGGGGAATTAGGCAATCTAATTTTCAAAGATTCATATCATCAGCAACAAGGGATGGAGAACATATAACATCTTTCCTTTCTTTTTCTCAGGAGTGCTGTCAGACTGAATGTTCCCAGTAAGCCATCAGTTCACTATGATATTATCAATCTGTAACTTTCTTCTAGAAGGTAGCTCATTCTGCCAACATTTTTTAGACTTTTCAATTTATGTGCTCCAAGTGACATAATTTTTTGCATAAGAGTAATGTTCCCCTTCTGCTCTGTACATTAAAAAAGCTGAAATCTTTGGTGCAGATATTTTCTTTGTGCAGATATTTTTCTGTTTAGCTTTGAAGTTGTCGTTCTTATGTACTGCCGGAGCATGAATAAAACTGTAACAGTAGATAGAGCATTACCTATTAAATTTTCTCTTTATCAACATATCACTGATAATCAGTCACCCTACTTGTGATTAACTAAAAAATGAAACTTACTTTTTTGCAGGAAAGATATTCATGTTCTAAAATGTAGGCACTGCATGATGTTTGTATTTGTAGCTAATTAAGCATGAAACAAAGAACCTTTGAAATACAAATAATCAAATTAATTTAGAAATGTAACTTGGTGTCTACCAAGCTCTAAACCTCTGAAAATCAAATAATTATACCAGATAAGGTGGTACATGCCCTTTAATACCAAAAGAGACAAATAATAGATTAAAGGCTATTTAATCTTCCCAAATAGATTTTGAAAAAGTCCTTTCAGGCTTTTTCTCATCACCTTTTTAGTAAGTATCAAGTACAACATGTCTGTCTTCAGGATAGCATAAGAGTGTGCTAAAAATAAAATGGTTAGTAATAAACTAGATTACTTCTCTCTAGTTATATGTTATTCACAAAGCCTGGTGGGTCTTACAACAAATAAACACTTTTATGCAGCCTGTAAATACTACTTTTATTTAAAAAGAAAATAGCCATGAAAGTAGCTTGAAGATGTAACCTTCTTAAAAGACAAACAAAAAATAGTTTTAAGGTCAGAGCTACATAATAGAAAATTCTAAGAACAGAGCAGATTTAGAACAAATAATGAATTATAAAACAAGGCATTTGAAATTTAATTTTTCTTTTATTAATGACCAAAATCTTCCATCCAGTTTGTTTGGGGTTTTTTGTTTGTTTGTTTATCCAGGCTTCTTTACTGTTGGATTTCCCATATTTTTGGTAGCTGGAGGGTTTTTTTTTCAGATTTTTAAAATAATGAATGTCCCTTTAACCTTAACATGAACCAGTTGCTTCCCAAGTTGCAGTGCTGTCAAATTGTAATACTGCCATTTAGTCTGTAACTGAGAATTTATTTGCAAAAATAAATAAATTACCCCTCAGTCATGCTGTTTATTAAGACCAGTTTGCTGTGCTGCAAAAAAGGGATTTAGCAAGGTATTTTTTGGTGTAAGAGTAGGGGACTTTCTCTTCTATACCTTCTCAATATCTGTTATTTTTAAAAGCAGACCACTTTTAAAGGTGGTTTGTTTTAATGAATAGGCGTAAGGAGCAGTAACAGTAACCAATGATAAAGATGCATTTTGGTGGCAGTATATATACTCTTTTTAACTAGCAAGCTGACAAAAGGAAAAAGGACAATGGGTTGGAGAGAAGAGGGAGATGTTCCCATTTCATATTACCTTCTGAAATGTTGAGATGATGGGTTATCACTAAATCTGTTACAGAGCACTGAAGAGCTCATGCAGTGGACAGCTGAGCAACATATTTCGTATTTGTAAAAGGTTTCTGATTTTTAGTATGTATTTTATCTTTGGAGAAAATATGGTAATATCCTGTTTATATATATTCACTGAATTTTATGATACGGGGTGCAATACATGTGCATTATGCTAGTGCTTAGCTCACGAATGAGAGGCAGAAAGTTACGGTTTTTGGCAGGGTAGAAGGGCTCCATTGTGCTATTTTGCAAACCTTTTTCTGTATTTCTGAGTTAAGTTAGTTCTGTTAATACACTGCAAATCTTTGTCATGATCATAAAGTATAAATAGAAATGTTAATATTCACCTTAATTCAAGCATGATAGCAGCCTAACTGAAACTTTTTACCAGACAATATTTATTTAATCAAGATTAGTAACTGAATACATGGAAGACTATTTTCCACCATGAGTCTTAATGTGCTAAATGGTGGGAAAAAAACCCCCACATTTCGAGATTGACAAGAGGTTGCTAGCTTGTTGTCAGCAGCTTATTTCACTTGGTAGTGATGTAATTTCACTTTCTCCATTAATTTCAAATGTTACTTCAAACCTTCAAGGTTATAAAGTTAAATGATGAGCTTGGGTGATCTTTTCGCAGCTCAATGACCACACAGCACATTTTTCTTCAGTGATACTGCCTGTTGCGTTTCTTTCCGAAAAGGGTCAGTTTACAACTTGTGAGAGAGCACGGTTCCCAGGAGTTAGCTTGTATTTTGCAGCTCAAGCTTGTGTCGTCTTTTTTTGTTCCAGTTAACACGGATCTGCTGTTCAGGGCCAAAAGGACAAATCTCAGTCCATTTTACTATTTTTATTTGAAAACTCACTTCTGTTGTCTTACCTGTTTGTCTGTTGGTCACATAATCTTATACTGTACCAAAAGGGTTTTTCTCTCTTCTTTTATGTGTCTAATATTCCAGTAATGAAACGCTGTTGCCTGTAGTGGCATCACGCTGGCAGAACTGATGTCACTGTGTGGAGAAGCAGGGAAAAAAAACCCAAGGATGATTAAGTGGATAGTGTTTAGTTGGAGAGATGGAACTCAGGCTCCTATCAAGTGGGTTTTTTTACAGTGCAGAGCACAGGGATTTAATCAAGCAACTGTTTTTCATGACTAAGTCTTCACATGCTGTGCTGAAAACCTGCCATTAAATGTCTCTGTGATCTTGAAAGCCTCTTATACACACTTTTGAGGCACATCTATTCAAAGGTCATATTAATTGTTCAAAGCAATGTTTCAGCACTGGAATATAAAGTTGAAAGCAATGTTTCAGCACTGGAATGTACAGTTGTAAAAAAAGAAAATTTTTATGCTCGAGTGTTACAGATGTCATTTGAGTAGTGGATAATATTGCTGAAGTTGTGTGTAGTGGGAAGCTTAGATGATAGGAAAGACTGGGTGAAAGACATCTCACATTTGGAGGTATTTCAGGTAATTGATAAATATTTGCAAAGGGAATAAATTTTATCAGTGGCTTACACCAACTCTGTAACTCTAAAACCAAAAGATGTTCTTGTTGATTAGAAGTTCAGCATAGGAGTCATCTTGTGCTTCAATAAATACAAATGGTAAAACAGAAAGTTTGTAGAAATGTTTCTTCTTTAAACAAATGCAAGTTAAACAGGAAAACTGTTGAGGAGTGAAATGTGATCAGTTTATTGTTACACATTTATGATGTAATGAGAGCTTAAACACGGAGTTACATGGTTGTTGTCACTTTGGCCAAACTTTAAAACATGTGGGTGCAAGCATATGTGTTTCTGTTGTGCCTGTGATACCACTGTGTTTGTGTAGAGAAAGTTTGGAGTCTATAATCATGTAATCCCTTAGCCATCTTCACATATTAAGATGTTTGTTAGAGTGCTGTTTGGTTTTTGAACATTTAAAATAGGGAATTTTTTAGGCTGTTGATAAGTAGGTTGTTTTTTAATTATTAGAGTTCACTAAAAACTCAGAATGTTTGTTAATTTTAAAAATGCTATCCATTATATTGTTACTTGTTGTTCTCTTCATCCCATTCCTCCTTGTCTTTTATCTGTCTTAATTTGCCTCTTAACAATCCCCCTCATTCATGACATCATTTCCCAGCAGCGCTACAGGCTTGGGGAGGAGTGGCTGGAGAGCTGCCAGTCAGAGAGGGACCTGGGGGTGTTGATTGACAGCCGGCTGAACATGAACCAGCAGTGTGCCCAGGTGGCCAAGAAGGCCAATGGCATCCTGGCTTGTGTCAGCAATAGCGTGGCCAGCAGGGACAGGGAAGGGATCTGACCCCTGTACTCGGCACTGGTGAGGCCGCCCCTCGATTCCTGTGTTCAGTTTTGGGCCCCTCACTACAAAAAGGACATTGAATGACTCGAGCGTGTCCAGAGAAAGGCAATGAAGCTGGTGCAGGGTCTGGAGGACAGATCTGATGGGGAGTGGCTGAGGGAACTGGGGGTGTTTAGTCTGGAGAAGAGGAGGCTGAGGGGAGACCTCATCGCCCTCTACAGCTCCCTGAAAGGAGGGTGCAGAGAGCTGGGGATGAGCCTCTTTAACCAAGTAATAAGTGATAGGACAAGAGGGAATGGCCTCAAGCTGCACCAGGGAAAGTTTAGACTAGATATTAGGAAGCATTTCTTTAGAGAATGGGTTGTTAGGTGTTGGAAAGGGCTGTCCAGGACAGTGGTGGAGTCCCCATCCCTGGAGGTGTTCAAGAGTAGAGTCGACATAGCACTCAAGGGTATGGTGTAGTTGGGAACTGTTAATGTTGGGTTGATGACTGGACTTTTCCAACCTAGACAGTTCTGTGATTCTGTGATCTTTTATGACTCTCATTTTTTCCATACTTTAACCTAGAGCATTCTCCTAACTTGAGCTGGCTTGCCGTTTAAAATAGTTGCTTATTTGAGCTGTGATTGTGAGATATCCTTCCTAGGTCTTTCATCTTGAAGTTTAGAGCCTTACCCCATATTCTGTCCTGTCTGCCCCACATGCTCTGTCTCTGTCAACAGCCGCGGTTCCTCTGTGCTGTTTTGCTGTCCTGTACCTACTGCTTCAGCTGCAGGCTCCCTGGCTCTGCTCACTTCTCTGCAGCCATCTCCCAGCTGCTTCTCAACAGTCGGCAGCTCCGGTCCTGCTTTTCATTGCTGAGCAACAGAGGAGAAGGCAACCTAAGATGACTTCTTTGCTAGTTCTACTTTTTTCTAGTTTTGCTGTTTCCCTGGTCAGGCAGCTGTGGTCATTTCCACTTCCTTTCTGTTCTTATATCTATCACCCTGAAATCTTACAGGGTTCTTATATTCCATGTTAACAGGGAAACTTTTGTTTGCACATCACATGCACACAAAGCACATATTCTCTGGTTGTGAATACAGGTGAGTATCAGTCATTATAAACATTACACAATAGGGTTTTGTACATAAATGCATATATAAATAAACATTTATGTTTTCTCTGTGTCATGTATTATACACCCCTGAGGTAATTGTTTTAAGTTAAAACACTTCAAGAAAATACTAAGACTAGTTTCAGGAATTTTTATTTTATTTCATTTCATTTCTACAGGAAATAACTACTTGCTTACCCGAGTACTACAAATGGACACAATATGTCTTTCTTAAGCTTTTTGAAGCTGGGATAGTGTATCAAAAAGAGGTAGGTACAAACTTTGACCTTTATACTTTCCAACTTTACTAATTGAAGTCATTCATGTCAGTGGCATGTTTCAGGATCATCTGTTCACATTCATTAAGTGGATTATGCTCTATTGGTTTTAAATCACTGCAAATTAGAATTAATTTTATATATAACTGAATTGTATATGTAACTAAATTTTATATATAACTAACATGAATGGGTATTGTAGCAAGTCAAATCAGAAATGTTTATTGTCAGTGATTTGCACTGAAGCGCAGGATCAGAATATAGCTCCTATTAGTTTATTTCATGGCTTTGATACAGAATTTTCTAGCTCTTAACTTCCCTCTGGTGAAAGCAAATAAGATAATGTGATCATTAGGAGTCTCTTCAGTAGTGAGATTATTTAACTGTGTAACATTACTGTGATACTGTCTCAGAACTGATAGGATTGGATAGGATAATTGAAAATTATGTGCCTGACCATCCAATTCCTGGACCCTATTTGTGATTTCTAAAACATGACATAAAAATTAGATGCTATAAGACTATCACAGCTGTTTATCTGTTACCAGTACATTAAGAAATTATTTGCCTTATAATATTTTGCAAATAACATAGATCAGGATATCTGAAAAGGGAAGGGTTCGGTTAACTCTTAAGCAGGAGGTGAAACAAAGGTTTTAAATGAGCTTTCCAAAGAAATTTCTGTATAGCCAAGACAATGCAGGTCCAAAATACCCTAACAGCTGCACTTAAACAAAGCTGCAATTTAGTGAATGTTTCTAACTTAAAATGGAAACTAAGGTTTCTTAAATATGCTTTGACATTGCATTTGTATTTTACAGAAACCAGGAAACCTCATAGAATATAATGAGGGATGTATTCTAATTATTCTCTGAACCCAGAGAAAGAGGTTGATGGTGAAAGGTAGCATTTGGAATGTCAAGGTGTTACTTAACTACATCTCCTATTTTCATAGGCAAGACGTAATCAGAGACCTTAAATGACAGCCAGCAAAAATAATCAATATTTTATATGTCCTAACATGCTGGATTTGGTTTGGGTTTTTTGTGGATTTTTTTCTGTAACTATTTTTTGTTTGTAATTAAAAAAAATTAAGTCTCTAGCTTTGCCATAACAAACTTAATTTTATCTGTAAATTTTTTTAGTTGACGAGTGATCTGAAAAGCACAGTGCTGCTTTGTTAGAAGCAGTAATAATAGAACAAATTTTGCATGCAGGCTCCAAGTACTGTGGGATCCTGGAGCTACTTGGTTAATAGTGATTGGATCTGCTTCCCTCTTTAAGAGTCAAGAATCAGTCTGAAACTTAAATCAGCATTTGTCAACCTATAGGGGATGTAATCTCTGGTGGCTATGAACCAGTTGCTTTTTGGCAGGAAGCGGATGGCAGAGTTAGCCCATAACCCCGGGTCTATTCAAACAGTCATATATACTTAAAGCATGTATTTATCCCATGTTGTCAGTGCATCTGCAGTATATGTTAAGCAGTACTATTGCACAGCTTGAAGTCTTCTGCATTACAATTTCATTTTGGGTACAGGGAGATAATTCATAGCCTTTCTGTGGCAATAAGAATAATACATGTGGAGTATTAGCCTAGTTAACACTCTGTTCCAGGAGTATGTGTGTCTGGCCAGAAATTACCCTGGTAGGGAGACACAGACTCAGTATGTCTGGGAGCTGCAATTACTTAGAATTAACAGTGTCTGCCTGGGTGCTGCAGCGTCTTTATTCACTGTAGCAAAATCCTCTCTCTTCCTTCAATACTGATGTAGTCAGTATACTGTAGAAGTTACTGACCTGGCCAGGTGTGGGTGTCTTATTGAGGATGAGATTAATAGCTGCCTAGACTCTACTGTTTTGACTAGGTATCTGTAGACTGTAGTGGAACCATAAACACCATATCTGGAGATAGACATTTATGCTATAGATACCGAAAGTTAGAGGACATTAATCCTATCTTAAAAGCGTATGGTCTACATTGTTGTAGTGAGGAGATCTAAATAACTGCTGTGCTCTATACACCTTTGCACTGTGTTCTCTTTGTGTAGATGACATTTAGCAGCTTCCTGGGGCCATAGTTTCAGAGGCTGTCATTGTCGAGTAGTTGCCTGTGTGAGGTACAAGTAGGAACTAAGGACTTAATTTAATATCCAGATTCTGTATATTAATCAAAAGGCTGGGAGAGATGGAAGGAACAAAATGCAACTTTAAAAATTCACAGACAAGACTTTTCAGCTACGGATTTCTTAAATGCATATTTGTTTTGTTTTACATGATTTATTTAGATAAATCTTCTCGTTATGAATCATGGTAATATGTTATACTAGATAATTATACTCATATAAATTATTTCAGTTACCTTCTAAAATTTTCATCATAAATTTGATGCAGTATCATCAAAATAGAAACAGTATTTTTTTTAAACTTTGAGTCATAGCCAGTTGAATACAAGCATATGCTAATACTGCTATATGCAAGTGTCATTTTATTGCTTCTTAATATTATCTGATTTATCTCTCATTAGGTGTTATTTTAACTCTGTAGTGGTGTGGGTTTTTTTCCAGAACTTTATAAATTAAAAGATCATTACTTTAGAGCCAACTTCATAATGTGTTGTGTCATTACTGAAGAAGCCATGTCTTCTGAAAGTCTAGAAAATAATCTGTAATAGTGCAATATATTGATTGCTTTTAATTTCCTCAAAGAATTTTCAGAAGCCTTTTCTAAAAACCAGTGTGGTGTTATTGGTAGAGAACAGGTAAAAGTTAGACAAAGTGCAAAAAGTTTAAATTCCAGTGACATACTGAATTCACACAAGCTTCATTTGAAGGTGAGTGTTTTTTTTATCAAAGAATGACTTTCATTCATTTCAGTATAATAAATTTTGTATAAATCAATGTAGGTAATCAGACTTTGTGGGCATGCACACACACATATACCACACACTGATAACAAAACCAGCAACAGTATACCTAAGGAAGAGGATCCATGCATCTGTCTTTCTGCTATTATCACTAGAAGATTTGTAAAATGGCTGTGATATTTACTGTTTCTAAGAAATGTAACATATTTAAAACTAAGAAGTATCAGTTGTTTGGAAACGGGGCATTTTAGAAGGTGATCAGTGATAGATAAGAAGTGTGTAATATAAGCATGAGTAGTTTTTAGATTGAGATACTAAGTCCTCCCCATACCCAAAGAATGCATTTGAAATTTTCAAATATAGTTTAATGTATTAGAACGCTATGGAGCTGGAGCTATTGTTTTTCAGTCAGGCTGATGTAACTTTGATTTAGCTCAAATACTGAATAACACTAAATGGAATGGATTACTCTTCTTTATGTCTTTGGTTTTGTGGGTTTTTTTTTTTCTTTCTGTTCATTTTTTCAAGTCAGTGTCTAGCATTGAATACCACTTCTGGAATGATCACTAGGATTCTTTTGTGGTCTTAGATCTTTTATGATGAACGATCAGCTAAATTGTTCAATGCTGGGTGGGAGGGCGAGTTTGATTTTTGCTTTCTTCACTGTATGTTGTCTGATATTTCAGTTAGCCCTCAAAAAAACACGGTTTGTAGAGTTGAACACCAATATTTATTTTGCTTTAAATTTCTTTAAAGTATTTGTATTGATAAGGAAAGATGATTCCAAAAGTAATTCATGCATTTAACAGAAGTTATGTGCAGAAAATACCAGCTCTTTCACTTGAAATATAGTTGATCACTATAATACTACTTTGTGATTCTGACCTCTCAAGTTGGAGGTCCTCAGTTATTCGTCCCCTTCAGTATGACTTGATGCTTTTGGATTAGTGGTGGACAGCTTGTAAGCACTGGTCTATGTAGTTTGCAGTATAGCCAATTGGAACACTTAACTTTTTAAAATTCAAGTGTCAGCCTATCCCACTAGTGTGATTAATCAAGGCAGATGCTCCCAACTGCATTCTTGGGGGTTCTGAGTTCTGAGAAGATGAATATTCAAAACCTCTTCATTTGAGTCCATGTTGCTGATTAAAATGGATGTTATAAAAATGTAGAAAACTCAGGGGCCCAAGGAATGTTTCTGGATAATTCCTTTCGTGTCTGAAAAGTAAGATTCTGGTTTTGAAATAGCTGCTAAAAATATTTTTTCTTCCTGCAACTTTTTTTAGGCCTTGGTTAATTGGGATCCCGTGGATCAGACTGTTCTAGCTAACGAACAGGTGGATGACAATGGTTGCTCATGGCGTTCAGGAGCAAAAGTGGAACAGAAATACCTCAAACAGTGGTTTATCAAAACGACTGCTTATGCAAAGGTGTGAGAATACAGTTTTTTGAAATTATTGGTAGCACTTAAAAGAGGTGACTTTTCATCCAGAAATATGCATAGAGCTGAATGTGGTCTTTTATATATGCATGTTTGTGTAATACATGATTATATAATAATACACATGATCTATCCCTGTGTATGTGTGCATATAAAAATTATTACCCCTGAAATCTTTCTGATCACATCTTTAAGAATTCTAAGTAATTGTTGTGGGATTAAATTCTGAAGAAATCAAAAAGCATAAATTAGAGGTGAATGATTTAATTTTACATTCACACGTTGTCATCCCGTATTTACCATCGAGTACTTTTCTGCATATTTTGGGTGTACAGCTGTGCAATCTTTTGAACTAGAAATCTGTTTGCCTGGTCAACCTGTTGGACTTAGGAGCATGGTCTAAGCAGTGGAGTACAGCATGTCACCTAGCATTCATTTCCACATGTGACTGAACTATATTTCTTTATGATTAACTGCTCTTTATTGAAGATTCATGTGGGCCTTCTATTTTACTTTACTTCATACTCTACTCAATTATCTGTAATTTAAAAAATATTTTCAAGTTACTTAAACATGCTTTTTTGTTATGAGCTCAAATTTTGATTGTGATGGGACAGCATAGCTTCCACATCTAGGAATTCTTCAACAAAAGTTTGGCTTTATGTTCTCTGAGATGAAAGTATTGATTTCCCGTTTTGTCTGGGTGAAGTTTTTATTTCATCCAAGTGTCCTGTGTATTGAGACTTCAAGAACAGATTGAGAATGTTGTTGCCAAGAAAATATTAAAAATTCATGTTTGACCCTTTTGCTGAGCCTCAGATTCAAGAGACCAAATTTCCACAATCATCCAGGGAGAAGAAACCCAGTTCTTACTCTAGGTCCATTCATAATAAAGAGAAAAACTTTAGATATCCTGCTGATGCTTTGGTTTATCATACATGGAGTGAGTACTTGAGATGCATGCTTACTGATTGTACTGCCTGTTCTGGCAGTGAAGAGGCAACATTTGCTGTAGCTGAAGGAAAAATAGAGCATGTCTGCACAATCACAAAATTATTACAACGTTGTGAGCTTTTTCTTGCTGCTCTTGTCACTAGATTGCATGATCACCTTTATGATATTTCAGAGTCTGCCCCAATTCACTGTTTCCCACAGTATGAAGCCAGAGTTCCACTGGAGTTTCTGCCTTTACTGATGCATCTTTTGTCTTCTGTCTTTATAAAGACTGTAGGAAATAATGACTGGTATTTCTGGGCTGTGTCCATGCTTGCACCAAATCACTGTTTACTTATCTCCCTCTAAAAGGAGTGAATCAGCCTTAAATTTTTACTCATAAAGACAAAGACAAGACTGAGGAGCTTGTTAGTAACCCTGAAAACACCCTTGGATTACAGGTTTATTACTTCTTGCTCACCATCCACCCTCCTCTAGGAAGGAAGATTTATCTTTTGTCTTTAGTTTCTGACCTAAGAAGTGTTACGAGACATCAGATCTTGCACATCTCCCACATGTCATTCTCCAGTAAGTAGGCTCAGCTGATGACAAGAAGGAACTTCAGTCTCCACAACATCCCCTCATCTTCCCCCCAAAGGTGGCACCTCAGGAGGCTACCATATCCCCTACATACATGAAGGGCAAAAGTGCAATCAACCCCATGTTCTTGAACATCTTAGTGGCATCACGAATGAGAGCTGCCTCTACTGTTCATTTGGGGATGATTGTTTATATCAACTACAAAACCTTTATGCATTACTACAGAGGACAGTTGAGTACTCTACAGATCTCTGTAAAGGTTTCCCCAAATTTTGTTCTGTGCATGAATGATATTCTGTAGGGTCTATGCTAGGTGATAGAACCAGGTCGATGAATGATGCCATACTGCTCCCAGCTCAAGTGCTTTGGCAAGCATTGCCTTTATGTGCTCCCACTTCTTGTACAGTGACAGATGCTACCAAGTATCAGCAGGTGGTTTGGATTTTCCTTTTTACTCACCCTCCACTGACTCCCGTTTTTGTTGCTGTGGTTCTGGCACATTTTAAACAGTCTCGATCTGCTGCTTTTGGCAAGGGCTTTAAACATTTGGTTGTAGAGGGGGTGAAAAATAACTTTTTTTTCCCCCATAATGTTCAGATAAGAATAACACATTACCAGGCTCTGCTATTTTAAGTCCAATATCTGATATTAGATGGATTTCATGCTTTGGAAAATTAAGATAAATTCCCTTTTTTGGTACTTTTTTTTTTTTTTTCAAGTTGCAAGAGGCTAGATAACATAGCATGTTATGTCTTACTTCCTGAAGAAGACTGTTTTGGCCATACAACTCTGGTCCATGAAACACAAGCTGCAATTGAAGATTGTCCATCAGAGGGTGACTGTCTCTGAGCTAACACTGTCCAAGTACTTCAATCTCTTAGATACTCTGCCTACACTCACATAACCAGGGTGCTTCACAATAGCATTTTGACAGCAGCCAAATTACAGATCTTAAATGATACAACTTTGGCTCATCTTTCTGAATATTTTGAGTAACTATCCGCAAAACTCAACTTTGCGCACATTTCTTCATTCCTTACAGTAGTCATACCAGGACTTTTCAAGGAGTGGTAAGAGACATGAGTCCTTTCTTCTAAATCTGTTTCTTTTGTACACTTTTTCTTCAGATTCAGGCTGTTGATAGTTGATCTGAATCCATATAATCCTAAATAGTGTAGTGTTGAACACCAGGGTTACAAGCAATCACTCCATAGCCTATTCCTCAAACCTTCTTCCTCACCTCTTTTTAAAAGCCCTTGCCAGGACATCAGGTGTTATTGAGAGGGAGACGTTCATTTACCTTTATCATTTCCAGAGCCTTTCATCTTGTAGCAGAGGATCCAGATTTTACAGATCTAGTCCTAATAGGTGTGGAGGAAAATGACATCTCTAAGAAGCCAAAGATCTTTAATCACTGATATGATTGTAGGATGATAACATTAGTGGTGATAATACCTTCACTTCAGCAGGGTGAGTTACTTCATATCTCTTGATCTTGAAGACACTTATTTCCATAAAGAGATTTTCCTGGCTTACATCATGGACCAGAACCTCTACCAGTACAACTTCCTTTTCTTGAAAGTCTTTGCTGTTCAGAGACTTCAGATATCTGTGCTTCTAATGATAAATGAGTATAACAATTAAGTTCTTTATGGATCTCACTTCTCTTTTTCTTCAGTAGTTTAAGGCTCTCAGTGAATCTGTGTATCGTACCTTCCCTGCAGTTACTTACAGGCACCCGAAGGCTGCAGTAGTAGACAGCATTTTTATCCAAGCTGGGCTTAGATGGTCAAGGTTACTTATGGTACTTCATATGCCAGACTCCTGTAAGTGGAAAGTCTGAGAGGTCATTATAAAGATTATTCTCAATGGGACTGGAGATTTCAAATCCATGGTCAACTTTTATGGCATTAAAAAAACAATAGGAGTCAAAGTTTGGCCTTCTAGAACTTGTCTGGCCCTGAGGTCTTTATTCCCCATTTCTGAGTCAGTTGCCTGTTGAACATCTTTTGTCCAGTTCTGCTTCTTTTGAAGGTGTCCAGAAGGTTAAGGCAAGGTGGTGCCAGACTAGCGTGGCCAAAATCGAACAAAGATCTACGTTTTCTGTCAGTATAGAGTAGCTTTTAGGTCTTTGAGGCATCTGCTAAAATTTGTATCAAAACACACCTGGTCCTCTATGTCCTGTATCTCACAGCTTGGAAAAGTTCATGGGCACAGAGCAGATTTATTCCTTCCTTGTACGAGATGTTCTTACTAGGTTTGGGAAGAGGTAGAGAGCTAAATGGTTCAGGCTTAGTTGTATGGCTAGATTTCTGATATATACTGAAGTGTCATTACTTCTTATTTTTAAATTAAAGAATGGGAAGCAATAATAGGTTATCTGATAGTAATTTAATCCCTGCACCCTTTGGGGAAGATTTGTATTTTTTTCCCTTTTTGGCTGCTTTAAGACTGTTAGTACTCTTTTAAGTGTGTTCTGCTTCTCCCACTCATCTTTCTCCAGTGAGGCCTTAATCTAGTTTTGGTATCTCATGGGGAAAGCCATTTGATTCTGGTCACCTTCTGCTTGCACCTTCAATGGTCACTACTATTTCTTCTGAAAAATCTACTTTCTTCTGAAAAATTTACAGAAATTCAAGACCAAATGTCAGAAAGCTCCACCTTTCTTGCCCTTCTTCTGCAACAAGGCTCCCTGCAAATCTGTTCCCTATTCCTTCCAGAAGTTATCTCTGAGTTTTCTTGAAGTTATCACTGAGTTTCCTTTAAGTTGATGTAGTGGAAAAGCATGTTGAAAAAAAACTTTATATCTGGTAAGTAACTCTTTCCTGTGTGGTTTAGAGGAAAATGTAAGACTTTATTTCATAACTATGTTTTGTAGACAAGGTTCCATTTAAAATACCTTTAATGAATCTGCTATTCCTTAGTTCTTCATGCAAATTACCATCTAGCAATAATGGCTGAATATATACATATACAATTTATTTTCTACTTGGAACATCAACAAATTGTTTTGTTGTAACTATTCAATCTATTTATACTGCATATTGATGATCTTTCTAGTCCTCTGTGTTCTTCTGTTTCACCCATTTATTACTTTGTTTTCTCCTGTTGTTGTCTTCTCACAACCTTAATAACAATAAATACTAGTAAGGGTAATCTTAATCTGTAATACTTAAATTACTAATCAAATAGCAACAAGGAGTTACATGATCAGTAATGGACTGTGAAGTCATCTGGTGTGTTACAGGAGTCAGTGTTTCATTCCTACACACACTATTCTTTGGATTTCAGTTGTGTCCAGAGCATTCATCTTCTGTGGATTTGCTTTGATTTCTTTATTGTTACTGTGCCAGCTCCTAGTCTTTTCTTGAAATAAAAAGCACAAACAAATGAAGCTGTGTTGGCTCACATGGCAATTTACCGTTGGCAGTGAATATTTTTCAAAGAGCAGAAATA